GCTGAGAACTACTCCAGTCCAGCAATTAGCATCCTCAAGTCCGTTCTGTTCACATAAATCAGTGATTAACGTAAGCATATTTATGTACAAATATTGACGATTTGGGAGAAAACATTAATTTAATGAATAATGGACTCTTTGTTGTTCATCTTAACATTTTTATGTAGTAGAACGCCGATTATCCGGATATACAATTATTCGAATCAAATTTTGAAAATTAAAAAAATGTATTTTCTTTCTAAAAAACCACACAAACGTTAAACGTGTCCTAACATTTGCTTGGATCACTTCGTAACAAAAGGTAGATTTCGTCGAAAAACCGTCACTCGCGACATTACCTTTATTGACGTGATTTGTGTTTCCTTAAAAATTAAAAACGTGTGTTTATTTTTTTTTCAGTCACAATTGCTTTTTGTTGGAGTGAAAATGTCTACCAAACGCAAAATAGTGGTTCTTTCGTTGAGTGATAAAGTGGACATTGTGAACAAGTTAAAAGAAGGCGAATCCAATCAAAACTTAGCAGAGAAATACTGTAAAATATATGTTCAAGATTCAAGTTTTTGTTATGTTCAAGATACGATTTTTTAATCTTCATTTAACCGGACCTCTTTGGTCCCAATTAGTTCCGGATAATCGGTGCTGTACTGTATCGACAAATCTCTTTGGTGATATTATTTAATTTTAATGTTTATTTATATACATTTCTGTTACTACCTCCTGTCCTTTCAAGAAGTTCTGTAAGACTATGTTGGCCGCTAGGTGTCGATTGTGAGCAATAAATATAAGATTGAGAAATGAAATCACTTGAGGTTATATTAGGTAACAAAAGTAGTAAAAATTGCCAGTTGGAAACTACATCAAATACGAGATTAGTTAATTACTTTATACAATGTTTAAGTCTCATGTACCTTTAACAGTATCCATTTTGCTGCTATTTTCAGTTAATCTTGTTGACATTAACAAACGTTTGTCCCAGAACTATATTTCTATAGTAGTTGTGTGACTTTGACTTCAAGTGTGATGTGTATGTTTTCTTAACATCACATTGTTCTCTTATTCCACGTAAATAAGTTAATATTGTTACGTCTCTAGTCGTTAGTCAATTTTTCGTAAAAAATCTTTCCGAAGAAACTTTAGCGATACAAGTCCTTTCTTAAATAAAACTGGTTTATTCTTTCTGAATACAACTTTGAAATTTATTTAATTTCCACGGTCACGCTATAGCTTAAACAAACGCTATAATTCACCACGAACGACTCACGTGCTCGACTCAGTTGTCAGTCTCTCTCGGGCTGCAGTTCAATTACATTGTTGCCGTCACTTCTTGTCGTCTTATATACAAGAATACCGTACATCTAGTAAACACTCGAGGCTTCAGGAACCTTCGAGAATATGACGTGTTACTAGGGTCACGTGACCCCCGCTGTCGTAACACTGCCCCTTCCTAAGTATTGTTCGGGACGAATAATAGCCACTTACATTAAAACAATAAACAATTAACAATAACTTAATTAAATGTAAAGAATTTACAAACACAAAATTAAAATTCAACAAAGTCTCTTAATTTTACGGGATGTATCATCTTCCGTTCTGGTCTCTGTTTCGTTGGCTTCTGCTTCATGTGGGGTTCATCTGCTTCATCAGGAAACGTCTTATCATTGGTAACAGTCACATCAGTGGTAGTAACTTCATCAAGGGCTTCGCTGTTTCCCTTCTCAA